ATCCTAGTAAATGGTGATGGTCGCAGCTGCTATCGGCGTGTGGAGTGAAATGGGTTTGGCTGGGCAAGGTTTTTGTCGGCGGTTACAAAGGGTGTTAGCGGAGAAGAGGTTTTGACGGTGAAGATGGGTTTGGGATGAGGAAGCCGATATGAGTTTGTGGTGAAATCTGGAAAATCTTGGAACTTGGGTGGTTTGTGGACGCACAAAGATAATGGTTGTGTCGAAGACGGAGGCTCTGAAGAAGAAGAATAGATTGAAGAAAAATAAGAAGAAATCGGAGGCTCTGAAGACGGAGGCTACGGAATTGGGAAATTAGGAACTTAGGTTTTGATAAAAACCCTAACTTGAAACCCACATTCACCTTTTTTTTTTCCAGCCCAACATAAAAGGTCCACCAAACAAAACTGGTTGCAAGATGAATATTTATATATATATATATATATATATATATATATATATATATATATATATATATATATATATATATATAATAGAATGTGCCAATTACATCATTATAATTAATATAGTAAGTAATTTTTATTTGTCCAAGTATTTTAATTATTGGCAAACTTAAATTAATAAAATTTATTTTTAATAATAACAATACAATTATTATTTTGATAACTCTATTAACGTAAATTTTGTAAAATTTATTGTTAATAACAAAATTTTTGAATATTTCACCAAAAATTTCATCTCTTAAAAATTAAATTATTCTAATTTATCACATTTGGGATATTTTAAAAATAAAATAATAGTTGGATACATTGATTAATTAAAAAAATCAGAATTATAGCATAAAAATCATATAATTTTACCAATAAGATTAACATTCAAGTAATTAAGTGTTTCGTAATACTCACCTAATTTATATGGTATCAAATATTTGATTTTTTTTGACAACAGAGAAAGAAAATGAAAAGTCAATCATCATAACAATAAATATATCGCTTTTGAATTGGTAGGAAATTCAAAAGATCACACCGGGTATTAATTATTATTTAAGTTAATATATTTTAAATTAATTTATAAAATAAAAATATTCATTTATTTGTGATATAAATTATTAAATATTAATTAGTATTAATGATTTTAATTAATATTTTTATTGATATGATGACCTAGTCAACTTCATTAATTATTTTGTAGTACAGAATATAACACGACTAATCAAACGAAACAATCTGTTCAAAAAAGAATGGGAGAAAATCTCATGTCAATTTCCAACGATTAAAAGCTTGAATTTTACTCTTTAAAGTACACGATAAATTCATGTATAATATAACACAATAAAACTAAAATAAACCATACAAATATTTATATTAAAAAATAAAGTTTATATATATACATGTGTGAATTGCACAATGACAGCATAACAGTAAGAGAGAGCGTACGTACCTTTAGGGTTTACTTCTTACTTATAGGAGTTATCTATGGGTAATGTGATGATGTGGACTTTTGGTGCCTCTGATGAGGATCCAGACCTGTCTGCTATGTTGTCGTATTAGGATTAGTATCCTTGATGGATTCTATCCGTAATTATACTTGATTAGAATCTTGGATTGCCCCTTATCGGACCTGTCATTCAATGGGCCCCTTATATGGGTCCATAACAGTACCAAACACACTTATGAATTTCAAGTTGGGCCATTTTAGTATTGACATTTTCATAGTATTTTTTATTTTTTTTCTCAAAGTCAAGCAATTTTAAAATACTGAGATCTCAAAATATTTTCAAATTATTTTGTTATAAAATTTCAAAAAAAAAATTATTATGTTTTGAAAATTTTATTGATTGTTGATTATTTTGATAAATTTAAATATACACAGTTAGAAACAACAGTCAAAAAATACTTAACAAATTAATCAATCATATAATAATCAAAAGAATAAGAACGAAAAACAACAGGTATATTACAAATAAAAACCCTATTCATAATGCAAACGTGCAAATGGGTTAGGCGGTCTATCAGAGTCCTACAACCCAGCCTATATCATATTAGGTTTGGCCTATTATATCTAGTTAAGTAGAATAGATTCAAAACTTCGATATTTTTTTAAAAAAAAGAAGTCATCGACTTTCTTTTATAAGGTATGGCTTATAATCCTACAAAATAAAATAAATAAAATAATTATTTTATTAATTATAAATAATAAAGTAATATTATTTCAATGTTTAGTGATATCAAGAAAATAAATACTATCATACACATCCACACATCTATACAAATCCACACGCATGCACATATATACAATATTAATACACACGCACACATGCCATCACCCACATCTGTGACCAAGAAAACTCATTTCATTTCATCTTTTCTCTCATCCAAGCATGAAAACCCCCTAACTTTTTTCCATTATTGGATGCTACTATTGAAGGGGGCTAGGAGGATAGGAGTATAATAAACTGCACCATTAAATTGAATAATTAGGAATGAATCCAAACAATACACGAAATAGAAGGATTCCACAAAATGTGCAGGTGTCAGACTATACAGTATGAAATTTGAAAGTTATCGCAAAATTTGTCGCAGATATTCAATCCATTTCACAATCTTCTAGTTCAAAAAATTCGTTGCAAAAACCGTTGCAATTTGCGATGGAAACTGATTCCATCGCAAAAGGAGACCACATTTAAATTTTGAAATTTGAAAAAATGCGCAATTTTAATACTTATCCAAACGCCATCACAAAGCCAGTTGCAATTTGCGAGAGAGACTGATTCCATCGCAAAATGAGAGCCACGTTTAAATTTTGAAATTTAAAAAAATGCGCAATTTTAATACTTATCCAAACACCATCGCAAAACCCGTCGCAATTTACGATGGAGACTGATTCCATCGCAAAAGAAGACTCACGTTTAAATATTGAAATTTTAAAAAATGCGAAATTTTAATACTTATCCAAACACCATCGCAACACCCGTCGCAAATTGCGATGGAGACTGATTCCATCGCAAAAGGAGAGCCATTTTCAAATTTTGGAATTTGGAAAATGTGCAATTTCAATATTTATCCAAATGCCATTGCAAAACCCGTCGCAGATATTCAATCCATTTCATAATCTTCTAGTACAGAAAATCCATTGCAAAACCCGTTGCAATATGCGATGGAAACTGATTCCATCGCAAAAGGAGATAGGCATTTTTTAAATTTCAAAATTTGGAAAAACACCCAATTTTGATATATATCCGAATGCCATCGCAAATTCCGTCGCAGGCCATAGCTAGATTTTCCTTCACAAAGGGCGTCGCAATCTGCGACGTGTTTTCTCTAAGTGCCGTCACAATTTTCCTTCCCAGTATTTGCATCCGATATACCCGTCGCAAAATTTTTCATCACAATAAGCCGTCGCAATTTATCCGTATTTGCGACGAAATATTTTCCCGTCATAATTTGGGTCGGTATTTGCGAGGGGAATGCGACGCTTTTTGCGACTGGTCTTGTGGGACGGTATTGTAGCTGCAATTCCGTCGCAATTGTTTTTCCGTTGCAAAGTTCGTTGCAATTTGCGATGGTGTTTTTCCATCTCAATATCCGTTACAATTTGTGATGGAAAATATTCCATCGCAAAATTCCGTCACTGTTTATGGATTTTCTAGTAGTGGACATAGGGTTTGCGTAATCTTGAGATTCTTGAATTTAATGCTTACTTTCTTGGAGAATAACCGGAGAACTAGGGTTCTTGCAAGATTCTAAAGATTTAGGGTAACAAGGGATTGAGCCCTAATTACATAAGAAAGAATTGATTAGATTGATATTAAGGACGATTAACATAAAGAAGAAATTCAGACGTAATAGAGAGATTGAAGGAAATCGAAACCCTAGCTACGTTTTATTTAAATCAGTTAAATCACATCTTTAAATTCTTTCTTTTAATTCTTGCGATTAATTAGTTTTAATATTTTAAATTTCAAATTCAAATCTTGTTCCAAATCCAATTTTGATTGTCCAACTTAAGCTGAGATAGTGAATTAGTGCTTGATATTTAATCCTCGTGTGAATGATCTCTTACTCGAACACTTTATTACTTATACGATCGGTGCACTTGTCGTGAGGTCCCAACAACTGCATATTTTTTGTAAAAAAAATTTGCACACAAAAAGACGTCATTTAGTGTGTAAAAAACAATAAAAAATAAAAATTCACTGCTATCTAGATCTAGAACTAGATCTGAAATCTGAATTGTTCTTCTTTTTCTCTTCCAATCTTCTCTGTCAGATCCAGACACAGTCTCCTTGATGTGGTGATCTCCTTTGTCGTGCTGATTTTTCTCTTCTTACTGGTTATTCGTTGTGTCGTCGCCTCTCCTCCGTCATTCTTTCTTTGGTAAGGGATTTCCTTTCACAAGTTGTTGTAGGTACGTGACAAGGAGAAGAAGGGCCTGAGTATGATGATATAATTTTTCATTAACTCCATTAAAATATGTGTTTTATACTTTGATAGTAGGATACTTTGATTAGCTTGTGTAATATTGACTTGTGGATGTAATTGATTGAATTATGTTAAATATATTTTGAATCTTTGATGATTGGTGGTTTGAATTTTTTATATAGGATATATATTTATTTTTTTAACATATAAAACAAGGTCAGTAAAATAACCCCGTGATCCCCAATTGAACCCGTAACCCTGTGACTCCTGAGCTCAGCAAAGTGGATGGTCGTTCCGAGTTTTTAAATATTGTTACTAACCTCTATCAGCTGCAATGTAATTTCTTTTGCATTACTGTCAATGACAGAGAAAAAATTACTAACCAGAAACCACACTTTTGCTTACTTTTATATTATAAACTTATTCTGGAAAGTATTGGAATAACACATTAATGTTACACCACCTTGCAGAGCTTACACACCATAATGTAAGTAACCTAAATACATTATTCATACTTCACACCACAGTATTTAATGTTTGCCTTATACGGCTCAACACAATCGCAGTTTTTTCCGCTATTGAAACATATACAATAATAATATTCAATAACCAACTCATTTCCTAGAGCTGAAAAATTCCATCTTGTATAATTAGTGGGTACGAAAAATCAGTACCAAAAGGATCAAAGTTAGTCACTGCAGTATTCTCCACAATCTGTAAAATACAATGTATGTATTAGAATACTTTTTCTGACAAAAGTGTAATACTACAACATGCTGTTAAAGAAATTAAACCTGCAGTTAATTAATAAAGAGAAACGAGTATTACCTTATCCTGGAGATATTTATTTGCCGCTTTAAGTGTCCCCTCCTTAAATCGAAAAGTTGAAACGTTGATTCAGTAATTAACATAAAAATAAAGGGATTGTCTTTTCTCATGTTGCATAGGAGAAAAACTATCTCCTACACACACATAGAGAAGAGAGAGAAGAGATAATAAGGAAGAGAAAAAAATTTAAAATGGGTCCCACGTTTACTTTGTGTCTTATGCATAAGATAACAATCTTATGTAACATAAGATTATTATTTCCCAAAAATAAATTATATATGCATACAAGAGCATTATTATATATAGTCACTGAAGTTCAGTTTCATTATCATATTTCATGGTATGGCATAG